AAGGCCTCCAAGAAGTATGTCTCAAAAGAACTTGCCAAAGAGATCCGTGTGAAAGCAGAACCATTTATAAAATGGTTGAAGGAGGCAGAGGAGGAATCTTCTGGTGGCGAAGAGGAAGATGAAGATGAAAATATTGAGGTAAATGGGGAAATGTGGGTATTCATACTGGTTGTTAATAATGAAAATCTTGACGGACGAACTCACCACTCATTGCTGGCCCTCTAGTGATTTAATTCAAAATTAAATTCTGGGCATTATAAATTATAATTCTGGGCTTTCATTTATTTGTAAAATGACCAGAATACTGGAAAGGAACATGGCTGGTAAATAGTGTACTTATTACCCATTGCATGTTTAGAAGGATTGAGCACCAGCCAGTAGAAACGTGCAAGATGCTGAGCTTAGACCACTTAAGGATCACTTTGTTTTAAAGACCTTGGTTTCAGGGTGTAGAATGGCGACTGCATCTAAGCAGGTTTTGGGTTTTTACCCTTTTCTGACAACTTGTTTCTGTTTTCTAAGCAGATTAAATGGGGTCTGTTCTTAGCATGAAGTTGCCTGTGACACTTAGCGACCCTGTGTACATTAACTCTGAAACCTGCCCTGTCCTGAGATAGTCTCGTCTGACAGATCTAATAATGTTTTCTCTAGTCACTGAGTCAACAAACTTATTTCAACAGGTGGTATATTCGAAGACTGCCAGTGTACCTAAAGTTGAAACTGTGAAGTCTGACAAGGATGATGACATTGATATTGATGCCATTTAAAGTGGTGGATGCAACCTTCCTTCACAGTATAATGCTGCAAAATTTCCTGCATTATCAGCCAGAAGTGCAACATGTATGTGCAAAAGCTGCAACGGCTTAACATCATGCTACACTTAATTATAAAAATGTCCTACTGTGAGTGGTCTGGAAGTAGAGGTCTTCATGCGACATCTGGCGTCCATACACGTTTGTGAGCAGATGTAGTTTGCTTATTTATAGCATGTTTCTTTCTGAAAACCTAGTGGTGGACACATTGGATCACATTTATACAGTTACACAAAAATAAAGATTTGTTTTGGTCATTGAGATTTTTGGCTCCAAATGACTTAAGCTGAAGTAATTGAGTCCTTTTTCTTTTTGATGTTGCACCATCACTTGGCATGAGGATTCTTGGAGCCTGTTAGATTGTGTAAGTGCTGAGGCTGTAAGAAACCTTCAGCAGAATGCCAGCCTAATTTGATTTTTAATCACTTTATTCAGCCACTAAAGTTTAGTAAGTACCTTCCTAAGTTTTCTCTCTAGTCCTCAAATTGGCGTTTAGTAATGTGTGTTCTCCCCATGCTGAGGTGGGCCGATAATCAGATGGCCGCGCAGTACCTTTGTCTTAGAAGTAGAAAAGACCTCAGTGTCCTGGAAATGACTTCTGAGCAAGTTTGGAACTGGAGTTGTGACTTTGTTAGGTTTGAGGGTTTTGCTTTTTGGGTTGTTTGTGTTGGGTGTTTGGGTTTTTTTCCTTCAGTTTGTTTACACTTGCCCCAAATTTCATTTCTTGAGGTCAGGTGCACTGCAGGTTGAATGAGCCATGGAAATACCATGTAAGCAGATAGTGTTTATGTGGGCGTGGCTGTGCTTTATGCTCAGAGAATAGCAAGTCCTTTGATCTTGTAGAAATGGGGAAAGGTGCACTTAATTATTTAACAAAAGCTGGCTCTTAATTTTTCAGCTTCTACCCTTATGGGGTAGATTACAATTTCAAATTCTTGAAACGTACTGGATCTTGCTCAGTGTTTTAGTCTCCTAATAGGATGATTCTTTTTCTTTAATACCTTTATATTTGGACATTGGCTTATGCTTTTTAGAGTTTTGGTTGCCGTCTTGCCAAAATAACTTACTATGTCTGAGGCTTGATTCCCCTCCCTCGCAAAAAATGTCTTATTTAAAAAATAAAAAACAAAGCTAAAAGCATACTTCTAAGTCAGAGTCAATATTTTGGCATAAGACTTGGGATTATTTTTTACTTCACATTGAACATAGGCTGATACCCAAGAAATCTGTGAGGACGGTCACTGGGGGGCCCCCACCCCCAGCCAGGGCTTTGCATCTGGACATAGAAATAAGAATCTGACCCTAGAGCTTGGCTCAGTTTACCAACTAAAGTCATTTGATGTCGATTCTGGCTATCTGAGCTCTTTCCCAGTGTTGTATTTCTTGCTGTCCATAGAATGTGTGTGGTGGGAATCGGGAACATGGAGGGAGCAAAGGCTGGTACCACTTGCCCCCCTGACGTTTTGTGACTCATCTCACAGATTTTAATGAAACCTTCCTAACAAATGTATGTAAAAAATTTTCACATTGAAATTCTACAGACATTTGATATAAGTAAAACCTTGTTAGTTTGATATTTTTGAGGAATTGAAACCTAGAGTCATGCTGCAGATGTAAGCATGGACCTCAACCTACCTTTGCCAGCTCCTGGTAAGAGTGGAACAGGAACCTACCTGCCGAATGTCATTTGCCACCAAAGAGAAGGTTTGCAAATTTGTATCTCACCTAGGTTTTCCGATTTCTTTGCTGAGGCCAGTTTGGAATTCTGCAGGAAATAATGGTGAGCTGAGCTGCCCCAAACTAAGGAGGTTGTGGGTTAGAATTTTTGTTCTTTTTCATCTGAAGGAAAACATGCTGAGAGGGCTTCTAAACACTAAAAAAAGAAGAAAAATCTTGGCTTAGACCACTGTTGAGTCTGGTGCCAAAATGGAATTCCTGTTCACATCATCTGAGTTTTGTTCACAGAGGTGGTCCTCAGAGCAACCCTTCACTTTGCTCTATTCAACTTGTCTGGAAATTTCCTGTTTCAAACACCTATGTTACTTGATTAAAACAATGTTAAAGTGATCTTTTGTCTCTTGATTCATTGCTGTTTGAAACTCTGCATACCTTCCTGGTTTGCCCTTTTCACAGGTGACTGGCTTACAGTTGTATACTTGTGCTCTGTGAATCTGATATTGGGGTGCTTAAAGTGTGGAGGGGCCTTTGTCAGCATGCCACAGTCAGAGCCTCAAGAAGCAAGTAATGTAGAGAAAGATAAATCATGTCCAGGTTAGACCTGAAGGAGTTCAGGTGAGAGACTAGTGTCATGAAAGGAAGAAAATGAGTTAAGCAGTGGGACTGAGGAGTTTGGGCATGTAGGTGAAAAGGTCCAGGAAGCAAAGAGCTTTCCAGCTCTACTAGTCTCTGCTTTGGGGGGGAGGGCAAGGGAGTGTCATGGAAACCAAGTCTATGGGTGGAGTTCTTCATCAACTCCTTAGCAGCCCAGGTACTCAGCACTGAGAGAACAGAGTGGTTGAGGAACAGTGTAAGGGTGAATGGAGCACGTGCCTGTCTCCCTCACCTCCCCACCTACCGGAGAAAGATGGGCTATCCCCGTGTGATTTAAAGCCTCAGAAAACCCAGTGGTAGCTCTGCTATCAATCTGGCAATTAATCCCCACAATGAAGTTCAGTGGGGTTCTCAATCTCAAGGAGGCAGCTAGCCTTGGAAAAAGACATCCTGCTGGGAAAGCTGGCAGGTAGAGCCCACTGTGACAACAGTGGACTCAGGACAGGGCTGGGTAGGATAAGCTGCTGTCACTGAGTCATTAGTTGATGTCATTGTCACAAAGGTAGTTTCAAATGGCCTGACTTGACCCATGTAAATTTCAAGTGTGGCATTGACTGCAAAGGCAATTGGCTGGCTGGATCACAACAAACAGGCCAACTCTTGAGATTGGCAATTCCAGAACTCTTGATTGTGCTATGTGAAACCTGTATTTGGAGGCAATTGCCAGAACAGAGCAGGGAAACTGCATGTTTGGAAATGTGGAAGGGTGTCCGCAGCCTTCAATATGGATTAAAGCTCATTATCAAGAAAATGAAGATTCTCACCACTTGGCCATTTGGCAGCATTGTGATGGATGGTGAAAACACTTAACAGCTACAGTTTGCTTGGCTCCACAGTCAAACACTCTTGGTCCCAGAAGCCAGGAAATGTATCAAGACTAAATTGTATTAGAAAGTTGTCAGGGACCTCCCCAGAGGACTCAAGAGCAACAATGTCGGGAGACCAGGTGCCCGATTCAGGCCTTGGTCTTTACAATTGCTTGATAGTCATCAGAAAGTTGGACAGTGTTAGGGATGATAAAAGAAATTGGCCTTGGAGATGTGATGGAGAACAAATTTATCCTGGAAGAGGGTGAAACCAGGACACTCCTTGGAGGCAGGTTTTCTGCGGCTTCTGACATTTTGGGCGTGTTGCAGTAAGGGACGAGTCCTAGGAGAGACCTCATACTTGGGAGGATAGAGGGTCATCCCAAGAGAGGAAGACCCTACATGAGATGGATTGACTCAGTGACTGGAGTAATGGGGGTAGGTGTGTCCAAGTCAATAAGGATGCCTCAGGATAGGTAAGAGTTCAGAGCTGCTGTACACAGGGTCACTATGAGTTGTGAGTGAGTCTGACTCAATTGCACATAACCACAAAAATGTAGAGGAGGAAAGTGCCTATCTTTGTGTGGAGTGGCTGCCTGTTAATTTTGAGCCAACAGTGTCTTTGGGTTCACATATTACACGGACAACTGCTTTAATAAATAATGAAAGAATTAGGGGTGGAACAGCATAACAGACCACATGCGATGGGCAGCCATTCCCTAGGTAATTCTCACTGGAGAGGAAGTGGAGAAGGGCACAGTGTGCCAAGGCCCAAACCCTTGGAGAAACAGTCTCTCTGTTGGGATTTGTTCCGTGTTTGAGAAAGGAAGAGTAACCTGTAAGGGAGGAAGAGGTGTCTGATAGTGAGGAAGGCCAGGCCAGGGTTATCAGTGGTGGAGTTTAAAAGCTCACATAGAGTCACTTGGCTGCTGTGTGAACCACTCTGCACTTTGAAGTGTAGTCTACAGGAGGTGCTGGGTAGATGAGAGCTGCTTTCTGTGAACCGACCCATAGCCAGAGGCAGTTAATCACACTGGAGGTCATTGCCATCCTTCTGTGAAGCAGCTGGTGGATGGTTTCAGACTGTGCCTCCACTGTTCACTGTTACAGTTCAGCCTCTTGCCTCTAGGCTCCCAGAGCTCCCTAACAAGTGCTTAGCAACCCTACGAAGAACAGCTCTGAACCCTGTCCTCTCCTATATCATCTCAGACATACTGGAGCCCATGGGGGCAGTCACTGTATCAGTCCATTCAGAGAAGCTTCTCTCAGTGACCCTCCACCTTTCTGGGCATAATGGCTTTGTCCAAGGAATATTCTAGTAATATGTCCAAGCTATATGAGACAAAGCTTTACCATCCTTACCTCCAAGGATCAGTGCAATCTCTCCAAGAAAGCTTATTCTTTTGACATCCTGTGAGATTTTCTTTTCTCCAACACCACAGCTCAAAGAAACCGGTTCACATCCTTCTTCCTGATAGAACTGCCAGAAGTTCAAGATGGGTTAGGGCTTCTCAACAGGAAGACCACTGTTGACATCACTACCATTAGATGAATCTTGGTGGAAAGCAGAGAATGCCAAAATGTCTGCTTTGTTAACTGTGCAAAGGCATTCATTTGATTTTTTGTCAGTCATACATAACAAATTATGGCTAACATTGAGAAGAATGAGAATCCCAGAAAGCTTAATTATGCTCATGTTTTTATGTGCCATTGAGTCACCTGTGATTTGACTCACAGGGGCTCTATGTACAACAGCTCTGAAGCCTACCCTGTCCTGAGTCAATCTCACTGATTCCAACACACCTACCTCCATGACGC